AACTTTTCCTAGTCCAGAATCATGTGAAAAGAGAATCTCAGTGAGGGCTTATGTAGATTGTATTATCTGTGAGCATATCTAAAGAGGATTGTCTTAATTGCTTATGATAGATAACTGATGTGCCTACTGTGGGTATCACCATTCCCTAGACAGGGAATCCAGGAGTATGTAAGTATAGAGATGGAATTGAGCACAACTCAGCACACATACATTTATTTCTCTCTGTTTTTGACTGAGGATATGATTACCTGCCTCAGATTCTTGCTTTGGCTTCCCGCAATGAAAGGCCATGTGAAATGTGAGCTAAAATAAACCATTTCTTCCCTACATTGTTTTGGTCAGGGTATTCTGTTAGAGAGTTAATAGTCACCTTCATGAAAACATATCAAAGTTACAAAAAAAGAAAAAAAACCTGACAAACAATACCACCAATAAAACAAAAAACCCAGCAGAAACATGAAAGAGAGAATAAATTATCATTAACAGTAGATAACCAAACCATAGAATGGGCAATGGGCAACAGGAGAGAATATAAAATATACACAGGCTCTAGAAAATTACAAGGAAAAAAACCAAAAAGGCAATAATTCCTTTAGCAGCAATAACCTTAAATGTAAAGGATTAATGTTCCCTAATTAAAAGATACAGACTGATTTCTGACATGAACTCAATGGCTGGCTCTTTGACACCCCCCCCCCCCCCCAGGGAGGAGTAGCCTTGCTAGGCCACAGAGAAGGACATTGCAGCTAGTCCTGAAGATACTTGATAAGCTAGGGTCAGATGGAAGGGGAGGAGGAACTCCCCTATCAGTGGACTTGGAAAGGGGCAGGGAGGAGATGAGGAAGGGAATGTGGGATTGGGAGGGAATGAGGGAGGAGGCTACGGCTGGGATACAAAGTAAATAACCTGTGATTATATAAAAAAATATTAAATAAATAAACAAACAAACAGACTGGCCGAATGCAGAGCAAACAAATCAAAGCATAAACCCAAACACCATGATATGCTGCCTGCTAGAAACTCTCTTTACTACATAGTACACAGAATCTGAGAGAGTAAGTATGAAAGGTTTATGTGCTATGATTTGGGTCTTGGCTGTCTCCCACAGGCTCATGGATTAAATACTTGGGAAATGGTGGAACTTTTATAAGGTGAAATCTAGTTGGAAGTCTAGATCAGTGAGAGCATGTCCTTCAGGGGGATAGTGGATTCCAGCCTTTCTCCCTTTCATTTCTGTATCCTAGTTGCTAGGAAGTGAACATGTTTCTTCAATATACAATCCAGCCATACTATACTACCTTTACAAAGGTTGAGATCTTCAAAACCGTGAGCCAAAACAAACATTTTGTCTTTTCAAATGGATTTATCTCAGGTATTGATTACAGTAATTAAAAACTGACCACCAACCATAACATGCAAAAAGAAATCAAAAGTGAGTAGCAGTAACTGTAGAAAGAGATGGTCACTATATAAATGAAGTGCATCAATTCAACAAGAGGAAGTAACAATTATAAATATATGTGCATAAGTATACATGCCCAAACATTAAATAAAGACATTTACTCTAACAAAGGAACAGGCTCTCAAATAACAACAGTAAGGTACTGAAGCCATTTTATCAACAGATAACTTTTATTGGTAGACAAGTCATACATAAAAATCAACAAAAAACAGAGTTAAGCTATACTTGAGACCTTATGGACATAATACACATTTACAGACCCTTTCATCCAAAAGTTGCAGAAAACCACTCTTCTTATTAGCACATGAAACATTCTATAAGAAAATGATAAGCTATAAAGCAAGTCTTAAGAAATTCAAAGAAAATTCTGAGCACAGTAGAATAAAAACTGGAAGTCAGTAAGAGGAACTTAAGAAAACACACATGTATCCGTTAAATAACATTTTCTTTAGTGAACAGTGAATCAATGAAGAAATCAAAGAGAATGTAAACATTTTTATAATGATATATTTAAAAAGATTTATTTATGCATTTTATGTATATGGTTGCTCATGTCTACATGAACATCTGCACATCAGAAGACAGAATCAGACAGTTGTGAGCTTTCATGTAGGTGCTGGGAATTGAACTCAGGAGCTTTCAAAGAGCAAGTGAGCACTCTTATTCACCAAACCATTTCTCCAGGTCCTTTTTTTTTTTTTTTAAACGTTTCTTAAAACAAGGGTAATGTAAAAATTTAAATATCTTAATAACATAACTTACAAGGTATAGCAAAAGCAGCCTTAAGAGAGTTATACCAGTCAGTGCCTACACAAACATGAAAAGACTTCAAATCCATACTCTAATAATATAACCAAGGAACCAAAAAAGCAAGAACAAACCAGAATTGCTGGAGAAAATTTATAACCAACCAAAAAAATTAGAATCAGGAGGACACAGAAAGCTGGAATAGACCAATACCAAATAAGAATAGAAGAGGAATAAAGTCTTCCAACAAAGAAAACCCAGGAATGGATGACTTTACTGCAGACCTTCCCAAATACTTAAGGAAAAACTAATATCATTTCTTCTCAAACTATCCAGAATCTAAAAGAGGCAACCCTTCCAAATGTATTTACAAGGCCAATACTAATCTGATACTAAAAACAGATATGGAAACAATGTGTCAGAGTGGTACCAAGGAATAGTAGTAGAGGAAGAGAGGCCATAGATAGCTAGAGAATAACTGGGAGGTGAAAAAAGGGACAATCATTTAGACCAGGGCCTTTAAAAAATTAAAAGTTTTTTTTTTTTTTCTAATTTATTTACTTTACATTTTCCTCCTGGTCCCATCCTTCCTCCCTCTTTTGCCTATCCTCTTCCCCTAGTCCTCAGAAATGGGAGCTCTCCTCCCCTACCAACTGATCCCAGCCTATCAAGTCTCATCATGACTGCCTGCATCCTCTTCCTCTGTGGCAGGATTAGGGTGACCCACCAAGGGGAAGTAATAGAGGAGCAGGCAATAGAGTCCATGTCAGAGATAGCTGCTGTTCCCCTTACTAGAGATTCTAGTTGGCTGAGCTGCTTATTGGCTACATCTGAACAGGGGCCTAGATCTTCTCCATGTATGGTCCTTGGTTGGTGCATTAGTCGCCCCCTTAGACCAGGGCTTTAATAAAGTATAGCATGAAGGCCCTCTGCACCTGCCATGTCACTTCTTTCTTTTTATTTTGTATGGTTTTTCAAGACAGGGTCTCTCCATGTAGCGTTGGCTGTTCCAGAACTCACTTTGTAGACCAAGCTGGCTTTGAACTCAGAGCTCTCCCTTCCTCTAACTCCTGGGTGGTGCATTACTACACCCAACTGTCAATTTTTTTATATACAAAAATATTTAATCAGTCACACACTTGCATTTCAGTACTGCTGATGGCTGCTTTCAATGTTCCCACAGCAGAAATGAGTTGCTGTGACAGACTGAGACACCAGAGCCTAAACTTTAGTATTTGTTACCTTAAATAAAATACTTAACTGAACCCTGACTTAAACAGTTTTTATATGCTTTGCTTGCAAAGGAACAAATGCTTAAACAACTAGAAGAAACATATTGAAGGTTTTGCTTTTTTTAATTTAGATTCTAAAGAGATGACCAAGACCCTATAAAGAAGCTGCCAATGTACTGCAGAGGAAGGAAATGAAGCATTAACCAAAAGGGTAAGAGCTTGGGGAGCTGAAAGGGATTGTCACTTGTTATGTGGTAAAATGCTTACAATAAAACCACAGTCGGAGTGTGTGGAGGGCATATTCTAAGGCTTGTTGTATGATTATTAATATTAATATTGATTATTATTAATATGATAATTATTAATATGATTATTAATGGAGCAGTTATTATTCCTTAATCTGCTACTATAGAAATAAAAGTACACTGACACCTGTTAGATTTTTAATAACCTAACCCACTGGGCCTGGGAGATACAAACCTCCTAAACTACCTTGTTATCTCCCAGCCCAAATCCCCAGTTATTTGCTCCAACATTCCTATCTAGGCTACTTCCCATCCAAAATTCCCACAGATACTTGCACCTGCTCCATTTGGGCTGCTTCTCTCCATCATGCCAATCCTCAGAGCAAGCTCCTCCCAGCCATGTGCTTCTTGTAACTCACTGTGATCTCCTTTCTCCTTCCTTCTTGCACCTCTGTCTCCCATGATCCCTTCTGCCATCCTCAAAGCCTGCACAACTTCACTCCACCTACATCTCTTCTGCCCAACCCAGGTGCAGGCAACTTTTATTGGCCAGCAGGGGTAATTTGGGAGGCAAGTTTACATAGCATCATTTGGTTTATGTAAGAATGTTCTCGTAAAATAGTAAAGATCTCAATTAACACTTGAATACATAGTAGTTCCAGATCAACCACAACAAAATCTGAAAAGAAAAGGGATATTTTGCCAAACTGTGAACTGTAGTTTGATGATAAGCATACTCCACTGGAGAGTCTAAACAATCAAGAACTGTTAGGGACTCTGTAATCATGCAATGTTACCAAGATGCTTAGTAATAATATGACTTTCTTGGCACTGGTATGCTGTAAAAATTAAGAGGCAGATTCTTTTCATTATATCTGAACCATGAAAAGTCCTGTTAATGAAAAGCATTAAGTCTGCTTAACTGCCAGAGGAAAACTAGGAAGCATCAGCTACAGATCTGGGTACTGGTTTCCTGAAACACTTACACTTTACCCATTTTCTTTCTAGCATACTCACGTTTGTACATATGTATGTATGTGTATGTGCCTGTATGTGTGTATAGTATTTATACAGTGTGTATGTACACACACACACACACACACACACACACACACACACACACACAAGCATGGCGTATAATACCCATGGCTTCCAAGTGTCAGAGAAGACATTTCCCTGGGAAAGTAGAATGGAATAAAAGGCAGCTGTGGTCTGACATGAGACTAAGTTTTTTGCCCTAGTATTTTTTCCCTGGGGGCATTAAAATTAAGCTTTCTTTGTTGGGAGATAAAGATTCCACACAGAAACACTTACCTGTTCCCATGAAGAAATCATATGACGTTCAGCAGGCAGCTTTTCTATTATGCTCACCTCTGTCACACCTGGGGAAGATTCTAGAAGGAAGAGGAGGAAGAGAAGAAGAAAGAGTACAAAGTTGTAATTGGCCTGTTCACACATTCTTTACTTTGGTTAAGTTGTTATTACTACTTTATTTTATGTCTATCCAATCCACCTAATGCACATTTACATCCCTGTGAGCAAAGCAAAAAAGTGGCTGAGCCCTCAAATGCCCAGTACCATAACTTTGTAGGACAGAGCACAACCCAAAGGAAGATCACCACCAAAACCTTTTCAACCCTCTACGTTTATCTCGTTGAACAAAGTACAGAGATTATAAACTTTTACTGATTTCACACTGGACTTCTTGGTAAATATCTGTACTTAACAGTTATAGAGTAAGAAATAGTAACTATTTAACTTTCTATAAAAAATAAGACTTATCCAGAAGTGGTGGTTCATGACTTTAATCCACCACTCAGGAATCAGAAGCAGGCAGGCAGGTGTACAAAGCAAGTTCCAGGACAGCCAGGACTACATTGACTCTGACTAAAGAAAATCCAGAAAACTGTAACAAGAGACTTGATTTCTAACTTTATTCTAAATAAATTCATCTCCCGAACATATTGTTCTGCTTAATGGAGTTCAGGATTTAAAAGCTAAGCTAAACTAGGCATGGTGGTGCCAACCTCTATGGAATTACCTGATAGACAAAGGGAACTGGATCTACAGAAGTAGAGCCTGCTCTAAGTGAGTTCCAGGCCAGCCTAGGCTGCACAGCAAAACAATGCCTAAATAAACAAATGCAAGACTGGGGTTGGGGAGATGGCACAGAATGTAAAGCTTGCTATGCAGTTTTGATGTGTAGAGGATGTGAATTCTCATCCATAAAACAAAGAAACAACAACAATAAAGAAACAACAAACACTACCAGTCAATCACCTGAAAGATAACAATTCATCACTTCCAGGTTTTATAGTGCCCTGTTATCAACCTTTATTTCAGACTGTAGGCTTGTAGAATTCTGAGAGTAAACTGCTATCATTCTAAGCTACTCAGTCTGTGGTACTTTTTAGGGAAGCCCTAGTAAACTAATGCAAAGTTTAACTGCTTTTTGTGATACTGTATGTACTATTTTTACTGTCACCACTCTTCACACCATCGTTACAGGAAGCCATGATAAAATCACATCCACAAGCCCTCTTCTTGCTCTGCCCCATACTTAGATTTATTTCCAAGTTAATCTTGTTTAGTACTTTTGGTTGGCAAAACAGGGGCTTTAACATATTTTTGTTTGATTTTATCTTTTTCCATAATTCACATCCTTCGCTCTGGTATCAATTTTCCCATTGCCTCTATGTCTCTAATCCCCCTAAATGACATCTGTCCTCACATTCGATTATGTTGTAGCACGTTTCTGATACACATACGAGTGTGTCCATGCTTCTGTTTACATATATTTCAAGTTCTACCTCCACCATAAAACCACTTCTAGTCTTCATGTAGTCAGTAGATACATGAATGGAGATGAATCTTTATTTTCTTCTGACCTAAGTAAGACAAAACCCTACTATTTTCTTTGGCAGAAGAAGTAAAAATTGAAATATTTTGAAAAGTTAAAAATTACTATAGAATTACAATATTTTTTCTACTTTTGTTCAGTGTTCTAAGCCACTGAAACCATGGTACTAGAGTTAAAACATGGATGATTTTTTTTTTTCTACATCCCTGGAAATTAGGATAGAAGATGCTGTCTAGTCCTTCATTGGTTCTTGAATAGCACTATTGTTTGACTATACAAATGGAGTACTCTGGTGTCTAAAGTTAAAAAAGGACACACAATTACCCACCGTTTAAATTCCCTGTAGACGCTCACTCTAAAGTTGTGTGGTATCAATTCCTTCCTTCTTCATGTGTTCATACCACTTCTCCACTGCAAGGTAGTTTTATTTCTACCTCTTTAAATTTGGAATTGTTTTGTAACTGTATCAACCAATAATACCAATAAAAACAGGCTATGCCAGTTTTAGACTTTAAGACAAAAGAAAGTTCTTTTTCTTTTTTTTAATATTTTTTATTTTTAAATAATTTTATACATTCACTTGTATCCCAGCTGTAGCCCTCTCCCTCTTTCCCTCCCAATCCTCCCCTCTCTCCCTCATCTCCTCCCTGCCCCCTTCTGAGTCCACTGAGTCCACTGAGAGGGGGTGTCCTCCTCTCCTGTCTGGCCCTAGCTTATCAGGTATCTTCAGGATGGTTGTTGCAGTGTCTAGTTCTCCTTTTCTTTTCTTTGGATCTGAAGCTACTACACAACAAACCCAAGCTAGTCTTCTGGAAGTAGAAGCAACAAAGAACATCTGGGTGGGCAGTTACATGAATGCAGATGCCATCAGGTAATTATAGTTGCTATTTAACTGTAAATACTTTTGAGATCCCAAATGAGAAGTACCTCAGTTAAACTCAGTCAGCCCTCTGAACTAGAAGAGTTAACTCTTTGTTTCAAACCACTGTGTATTTGAGGTAGACCAATGGAACACATTTCTTAATAGAACGGCATCCTTTGAGTCAACTATCAATGATTTGAGACTTAATTAGGATTTGCTATGGCCTTAGCTTGGGAAAATTACTAACAGGTATTAAAAACTGTTAAGAAACACTGTTAGAAGAAACACTGCCAGTTAGATACACAAAATAATGTTAAAAAATGTGAAAACTTCAGGATAATGCACAATTACGTTAAACTGGGCAAAAATGACCCTGAGTATCATAGCAGTTAGAGGCAGGAGGTCACTGAAGACATCAAACATGTCAAAAATAATGCCCAGTTGATCTTGTGAAATGACATGGCAATTTTTGCATACTGGCTCAGTAAAGACCTACTTCTTTTCCTACTTCTTTTCGCATCTTTGTGTTGCAGACACTGGCCAGTCAATGACTTCAATTTTCAGATTCTATCGAAACTAAAGTCCCTCAGGCAAGGTCAACTTTATATAGAAACCTACTCTCATAATAAAATCACAACAAATAATGATCAGGTGAGGCAGCAGGCAAATAGAGACTGGTTTCTTAGAAACATAACCTGTGGTATTTTGATTTCAAGGGGTCACTGTAGCGGTATAAGCAGTAGCAAGAGCAATTTTTTTATATAAAAAGTAATTATAAATTCTTTTTCCCCAACTTCATTATACTAGTTACAGGTACTTCCTATTCAACATCTCCTTTTTTTTTTTTTTTTGATTCTTCAGCCTTGTCCCAAGTTTTTTTTAAATTTTTTATTTAACTTTTATTAATTACACTTTATTCATTTTGTATCTGCCCATAAGCCCCTCCCTCCTCCCCTCCCGGTCCCACCCTCCCCCCCTTTCTGCATGCATGCCCCTCCCCAAGTCCACTGATAGGGGAGGTCCTCCTCTCCTTCTTTCTGATCTTAGTCTATCAGTTCTCATCAGAAGTGGCTGCATTGTCAGGGTTCTAGGTTATCTCCATGAATAGTCCTTGGTTGGAGTATGAATCTCTGGGAAGTTCCCTGTGTTCAAATTTTCTTGTTCTGTTGCTCTCCTTGTGGAGTTCCTGTCTTCTCCAGCTCTTATTATTTCCCACTTTTTACATAAAATTCCATTCACTCTGCCCAACAGTTGGCTATCAGGTTCAGCATCTGCTTTGACAGTCTGCACGGCAGAGGCTTTCAGAGGCCCTCTGTGGCAGGTTCCGAGGTTGTTTCCTGTTTTCTTCTTCTGGCTTTCAGAGGCCCTCTGTAGGAGGTTCCTAGGTTGTTTCCTGTTTTCTTTTTCTTCTGATGTCCATCCTCTTTGCCTTTCAGGATGGGGATTGAACATTTTAGTTAGGGTCCTCTCTTTTGCTTAGGTATAGAGGAAAAAGAAGACTCCCTTCTCTAAGGCCCAGAAAATATTTTCAACAAAATCATTGAAGAAAATTTCCCTAAGTTAAAGGAGAGGCCAGTAAGAATACATGAGGCCTACAGAACACCCAACAAATTTGACCAGAAAAGAAAATCCTCCCGCCACATAATAATCAAAACAGTAAGTATACAGAACAAAGAAAAAATACTAAAAGCTGCAAGGGAAAAAGGCAAGTAACATATAATGGCAAACCCATTAGAATCACACCTGACTTTTCAACAGAGACTATGAAAGCTAGAAGGGCCTGGACGGATATCATGCAGACCCTAAGAGAACACAGATGTCAGCCCAGGCTACTATACCCAACATCTACTTTTTTTGCAGTAAGTTTCTCACTTCAGTTCTCCCAATGACTTTGTAGGTCCACTTCCCTTAGTTGACCCTTGGGCTAAACTGTAATTGTAGCTTTAATCTAGCCAGAGTGGATTCTATTGCTTGCAGTTAAGAACCATGAAAAGTACATAGTTTTGGTTTGTGGATTCAGCATTGGAAAATACTTAAAGAAAGATGTCATTTACATGACAAGAACTGTGGCCACCCAAAAAACCAAAACCAAAACCAACCAACCAACCATGGCCCATTCCCCAAAAAACAACAAAAACAAAAACCAACCAACCAACCATGAAAGGCTTTGGAATACAAGAAATACTAATGCAGTCTCTAAGAGCCAGATGAAGAAGATAAAGATAATCTTTAGCTTGATAAGAATATTAAAAGACCTTGATTTTCCTGGGCCCCAGCTCTACCAACAGTCTTAGGCAGCAGCCATTAATGACTACTAGCAGCAGTGAGGTCTACCCTGTGCCCTCCACATGCCATTTCCTGGGCTCCAGCTCCACCTGCAATTCCAGAGGGGCAGCCATTAGGGATTACCAGAGGCAGTGTCCATCAGGGACTACCAGGGACCTCCAAGCCTGACAACATGTGACAAATGGCTAAATGCCAATGTAAGAACATACTCAACAAAATCCAGAGCAATATGGCAACACCAATATAGGCAGCCATCCTACTATATCAAGCTCTGGATATCGTAACACAATTGAAGCGCAAGAAAATGGCCTTAAATCTAATCAAGACGATAGAGGCTTTTAAAGAGGAAATGAATAAGTCCCTCATGAAATTACAGGAGAACATAG